TGGGGGGGGGGGGGGGAGGGGCACATTGAAGGTGCACCAATAAATGTTCACGTGCAGGCTTGATTGATACCGAGGCTTTCGCGAGGCCTGCAGAACAGTGTGCATTTCGGGTATTGGAGTCATCTCCGACCTCAGAAAGCCATCGGAGACGACGCACAGCCAGAACGAACCGCTATTGGCTGCATGCATCACCTACTCCCTCCCTCAGCGAAGACATTGGTCAGTAATGTCCCCATCATTCGTGAGGGAGAAAGTGGGCGCTCCGGGAGAGAGGGCACGTCGAAACTCGAAGCCAGCGAGCGCCCCCCTACCTACTGCTGTACATATCTCTTTCTCTTTGCCCTCGTTTTCGTTAACTGACCTGCAGACCAAGAGGAGTTTGCCGCTGAACCTCGTCCCTCAGGAGGTCGCCGGAGCTGACGTGGACGGCGTTGGCCCGCTTCACCACCTCCGCGCAGATGGTTCCCTTGCCGGAGGCCGGCCCGCCCATAACGAAGATCACGCGGAAGGTCGTCAGGAGCTTCCACCCCAAGATCTGATCGGTCGGCGCGGAGGCATGTATGCATGCATGTATCGATACACAGATCGCGACAATGTGGACATCAGGATGGGTTATATTAGGGTGGTTTGGTTTGACGGAGATCGCTGGGGAAAAAAGGTCTCTGTGTGTGTGGGAGAGAGAGAGAGAGGATTCCACCCAGGAAGAGTCTAAAGTGGTTAATCGGCAATCTGGTCGGTCGAGTGAAGCGTCAAAATCGAAGTAACCTGGTTGTTTGATAGCGTAATGTTGATCACCGTCACAAGTCGCTCGCTCTCACGAAACGACCTCAGGGTCTGGCTTGTTCAAGAGGCTGGTCGACCATATCAATAAAATGTGTGACTTGGTAAAGCCGCATCCAAAATGCGAGCGTTCCCACGTGTATGCTGCCGCACAGTACGGGCCGAACCAACCGCATGGCTCGCAAAACATGGACAAGTACCCCCTTTGGCCTCTCTCAGTGCTGACAAGACCACAATTACCAACCCATCCGAGCGATCACTGAAAAAAAATGATAACCCTATCGAATTCCCTCTTCGCCACAACGCCAACACAGGCGATCTCCCTTACAAGCACGCAGGTCACGCACCGTGTGCTCCGTCATGAGCTTCAAAAACTCCTCGTAATTCATCCTCCCATCTCCGTTCGTGTCCGCCACCTGTGGTCGTGATTTTCGACAAGAAGTCGGCAGAGCGAAGGAGCGATGGAGAGAGAGAGTATATGTGTGTGAGAGAGAGGTGGAGAGAAAACCAAGAAGAGCGCGAGACAGACAGATACGAGAGCAAGAGACCACGACATGGACAGAGCCACAAGACAGACAAAACAGACAGGTTTAGGGACGGACAGAGAGAGGTGACTTCGGGTGCAGATCCTTTCCATCCCCAGATCTGCACGACATGACGTCATAACACGGCACATGATTTCAAACAAGGGCATGTACGGAGCGACACGTGCTAGCACCGATTCATTCGGGGTGGGCGACCTATCAACCCCTCTCCCCGCCGCACTAGCCCGGTGCAAACCCGGCGTGCTCCGTCCCGGCTGTGCAAGGATCGAGGCCAATGGTCCAACAATTACGGCATGCACGGCTATGAGTACCCCCCATCCCCCCCCCCCGGTGTTGCCATCGGGGTCCCTACAACCCCTGGTGTTTACCATCGGGGTTGGGTTTTCGTCGCTTGGCAACGACGTTGTAAAACAAGCCGCCCCCCCCGGTGTTTGCCATCGGGAGTGGGTTTTCGTCGCTTGGCAAGGACGTTGTAAAACAAGCCAATTCACTTCGTGAACTCGGCAACCAGGTT